ATTTTTTTGTTTTGTTGTTTCTTTCTTATTTGTTTGTTCTCTCTCTCTCTCTCTCTTTCTCTCTCTCTCTCTCTCTATCTCTCTCTTTCTCGCTCTCTCTCTCTCTCCCTCTCTCTCTCTCTCTCTCTCTTCCACTGAACCCCCCCATCCCCCCCCCCCCGGGCCTGGGCGGGGCGCGCCGCGAGGCGTGGGAGCGTCCGAGGTGGCCCAAAATTGCTCCAAGAGGCGTTCAAAGTCGCAAGATGGCCTCCGAGATGGCCCGCGCTACTTCAAGATGGGCCAAGAAAGCCTCCGACGGGCCCCAAGACAACCCCGAGACGAATCCAAGTGTCCTTCGAGCCCTCCATGGCGCTCTCGAAGATGCCAAAGCCCTTCAAAAGCTTTCTTGGAAACTCCGCCGATCCGGCGCGTGAGTTTCTCAGAGCGCGGGCTTGAGCTCGCTCAAGCTTCGCTATGCGGGGTGGGGGGGGGGGGCGGGGGGGGGGGGGCGCTCATTTCCGGCCTAATTCAATAACGGGCCCCGAGACGGCCCAAGAGACGCCCAAGACGGCCCAAGAGAGCCCAAGACGGCCCCAAGGGGGGCCCAAGATGGGGACCACGAACCGAAACCTCGAGCCTTCCGCCCCAAGAGGGCCCCAGGAGGCCCCGAGAAGCCCTCAAGATGGCCCAAGATGCCGCCAAGAGGCCCCCAAGAGACCCCAGGAGGCTCTAAGGAGGCTCAAAAGAGGCCCTATAAAGCTTCAAAAATGTCTCCCAGGCGCCCCCGAACGGCCTCTCAACAGACCCCAGGAGGGCCTCCCAAAGAAGCATCTGGACGACGGCCCTGTTTGGCCCCAAGACCGCCGCAAGATGCCATCGAGAGGCTTCCTCCTCCGCCCTTTTCTCTTCCTCCTCCTCCTCCTCCTCCTCCTCATATTTATCTTCATCCTCCTCCGTTCCTTCTCATCCTCTTCTCCTCCTCCCCTCCCCCTCCCCATCCTCATCTTCCTCCTTCCGGCGGCGCCAAAATGGCCCCGAGCCCGCGCCGAAGCAGTAGCGATCATGCAATACGGGCCGGCGGAGTGAGCGAAGCGATTGAATCATTCATAATGCCACCAGCCCTTTGGCCAAAATAATGGCGTGAGCCAAAATGGCTACGGACGCTCTTGGGGCTCTCTTGGGGCGCTCTCGAGGCCTTCTTGACTTATCTGGGGAGTTTCCTGGGCCGTCTCTGGGCTTGCTTGGGAGCCTCTTCGGCCGTCTTGGAGCGATCGGAAGGGCCTCTAACGCGGTCCGGGACCGTGGGGGGGCGGAACATGGGAGAGCGCAAGAATGCTTCAAAAACCATCGGACAACTTATAATTTTCGGCTTCTGGGGCCCTCTGGAGGGGCCTCTGGAGGCGCTCTTGGGGCGTTTTGGCGGCGTCGTCGGCCGTCCTGAGGCCATCTTCGGCGTGTCCGGGGCCTGTGGGGGCTGTCTTTGGGCGCCTTGGGAACCCGGAAATCATGTTCCCGAGAAACTTCCGGGAACGAGGCCCTCTTGGGCCTCCCTGAGGCCGTCTTGGGGGCCTCCTGGGCTGGCTTTGAGGCCTCTGGGGCCGTCTTGGGAGGTTCCGTCAGCCCCGCGGGGCAACCCCTTTTGGGCCGTCTTGGGCCCTCTTGGGTCTCTTGGGCCATGTTGGGGTTCCTCAGGGCGTCTGGGGCACCGCGATGGCGAAGCAAGGAAGTATGCTGAAAATTGACGTTTTACTAAGGGAACGGGCTGATTTGTGCCTCTTGAAAGCCCTCTTGGGGCCCTCTTTGGCCATCTTCAAACCATCTCGAGCCCTCCAGGGCCTCGCTGAGGCTGTCTTGTGGGCCTCTTGGGCGCCCTGGGAGACCGGGAATCATGTTCCTGGAAAGGTTTCCGGAAACATGATGTCGAACGAGGCCCTCTTGGGCCTCCCTGAGGTCGTCTTGGGGGCCTCCTGGGCCGGCTTCGGGGCTTCTTGGGCCGTCTTGGGAGGTTCCGTGAGCCCCGCGGGACGACCTTTTTGGGCCGTCTTGGGCCCTCTTGGGTCTCTCTTGGGCTGCGTTGGGGCTCCTCGGGGGCGTCTGAGGCACTCTGAAGACGAAGCATGCGAGCATGCTGAAAATGCAGGCTTTACAAGAGAAGTGGGCTGATTTTTGCCTCTTGAAGGCCCTCTTGGGGCCCTCGTCGGCCATCTTGAAACCATCTCGGGCCCCCTTGGGGCGCTCTTGGGCGTTTTCGGTTCCTCTCGAGGCTTTCTTGACCATGCGTACGGCCCGCGTGGCCTGTCGCTGGAAGCGGCCTGGGGCAGCCCCAGGGGTTCCGTGACCCCCCAAAGGTTCTGGGGGGCGCCCATGGGGGATGATGGCACCGGCCCGGGCCCCCCCCGGCCTACTCATATGTGCGTGTGTGCGTGAGTGTGTGTGTATATATATATATATATATATATATATATATATATATACACCTATATCGGTGTATATAGATATACACACGTATATTTATATATATTATATATATACATATACATATGCTATATATATATATATATATATATATATATATATATACATATATATACATACATATACATATACATATAATATACATAGACATAGACATAGACATAGACATAGACATAGACGTATACGTATACATATACATATACATATACATATATATTCTCATACGCACCTCTCCGAGGGAGTAGAGCTCAGAGGCGATTAATGCGCACGTCGTCCGCGATTTGTCTAGCCGTTTCGCTCGGGACATCCTCGGACGTCTGAAAATCGGTGGCACCCCTCACGCAGATCGTGACGTCAGGGTCCAAAAACACATTGGAATTTCAACATTTTAACATAAAACCTTCAAAAACACATGGTAATTTCAATAATGTTGACCCCGATTCTCAGAGAATGACGGTTTCGCCTGAGACATCCTCCCAAAATCGAACCCCAGACCCCTCCTCGGAGCCTCCTGGGGGCCTCCTGGAACCTCCTGGGGCCTCCTGGGGCTTTCTGGACCTTCTGGTACCCCAGACCCCGCCTCGGAGCCTCCTGGAGTTCTCCTGGGCCTGCTGAGGCCGCCTGGGGCCTCCTGGGGCCTCCTGGGGCTTCAGAACTACATGCACACACAGAGACACAAATCACGCCCAACACATCACACGCTAGACAAACATAACATACACACACAACACCGACAACACACAAAAAGCACGCACCACACAAAGCACACATCACACACACACACACTCACAATCCTGGGGCCTCCTGGAGCCTCTTCTGGTATCCAAGTCGGGCCTCCTGAGGCTTCCTGGGGGGCCCTGGTACACACATCGCAAGGTGTGGCAACCCCACTTGCGCTCGAGTGCGAATTCGCTGTTGCATGTCACTCCTGCTTCAAACGCCCCTTCAGCTTGTTGTATGAGCCTGGGCACACACGTGCCACTTGTATATATATATATATATATATATATATATACACATGCGAAGCTTGTTTCCGCGCGCTGGCGGCCCAGTCCACGGCGCGTTGCCAATCCATTTCGTATGTCGCATCTAGGTTCGGATGCACCGCGGCAGCTGCCGCAGGATCCGGCAACGCGAAACGCTCATCCTCAGGGTCACTCCCCACCAACTGTCGCCGTTTCCGCCCTCTCTTTCTTGCAATGTTTGCGGTCGCGCTCGTCATCATTCGCACTCGCGCCCGCGTTCCACGCGCGCTTCTTCAAACCGCTCGTTGGCTCGTCGCCGTGCCGCGACCCGGCGCCTCAGTCGGTCTCCCGCGGAGACTGGTGCGTCTTCTCGCCCGCGTCTCCACGCCTGAACCCACCGGGTACAATTCGAAACCGTTCGTCTTTCTCTTCCAAGCGCTCCGCTGCTTCACTTTCGCACCCCGATAGCGATGCACTGTTTTGCACTCCTTCACCTCGTCGAAAGCAGACGCCATCCATCCGCTTCGCCCAGCGGTCTGCGCGTTGCACGGCGAGCGCGATGTCCTTCGACCCCGTCCCCACCAGCAATCCTGGCCGCACGCGCCTGCGTCGCGCGTCTCCGACAGGATCGGAAATGTGCGCGGCGAGCGCATGTCCGCATAAAAACTAAAAGCCGCACGTCCACTCAACGTGGTCGGCAGCGCACAATCCAGATTCACCTTGCTCGGCGGGCAGTGCAAACAACCAGCCATGCCTGTCTTGCCTTGCGCGGCATTCCCCGAGCCCTTCAGGACCCCCTGGCACAGAGGAGCTGCCCTCTCTACCTGCCGCGTACATCGAGGGAAAACGCGATTGCACTTCGTTTGGTCATCATCTCGTTGGCAGTCATGCATGGCGCCATCTTGCGCTGCCGTTTACTCCGCGCGCGGGCGCGGTCCATGGTTGCCCCCGCCCCCGCCGCGCGCGCCCTCCGAGATGATTCCGCAGCCGCCGCCTTGTATCCCCTCTCACTATTCAGGGTAGGTGCGTGTTGTTCCCTTGTCCTTACGCCCCTCCTGAATGCATCGACACCCATGCCCTTGCCAACTCATCTCGTTCGTCCTGAACAACAAACTCATCGAATTCTGGCACCCCATCTCTGCTTATTCTAGGCAGCGAGAAGTCTGGTATATACAAACCCTGCGATGAAGGCGAAACTTTCAAGTCGTTGTTCTCACTCTTTGTTTTCTTCGTCAGCGGATGAAGAGTCGCCCCTGCGACCTCTCGCGTACTTCTCACCGCGCGCGCAGCGTCGGGGGAGCTCATCATCGGCTGTGCCGATGAGCATTTATCTTGAATCAGGCTTCTTCCGTCTTTACAGTCATCGTCTGAATCAAGAATAGCCTTCTGGCTTGCCTCAACTAGCATACGTTCAGAAACAGGGCCGGCACGCATATCAAGAAGAGGTCCAAGATGACGAGACGGACCAGGCGAAGTGTAACATTGAGCATGCTCCTCATTCTTTCTACAGAATTGGAACTGCCCCCTTTCAGACTGCATATCGCTCGCATCCTAACTCTGTCCATGCAACGTACATTGGACCGCGCGCTTGGCGTCGGGGTCAGTCGCGATCTTCGCGATCTGGTCAGGCGGGGACACGTCGCCCGTCTCGGAGATGGCTTTGATAACGGACAAGACTGATGCCACGAAGTCCACGTCGAACGTTTTGCCACCGCCAGCGATCGCGCGCGCCTGGTTCGACAGCCCCTGCTGGGATGGGCCGACTGTGAACATCCGCCCAGCGCGCTGGACGTACGTCACGTCGATCACTTTGCCGCCTGGAGAGCGCTCGTCATCCCTGCCGTGCGTGCGCACGTATGAAATGTATTTCTTGAGCTTGGCCTTCTCTTCCTTCTCATGCCGGGAGTTCCCAAGGTTCTCGAAGCGGCTCTGCAGGGCGACCAGGTCCCGCACGACTTCTTCGTAAGTTCCCTTGACCTCATCCTCCGCCATCTGCGTGGGCACCACGGGGTACATGAGCCTGTTGTTCGCCTGGACAGCCAGCTCTGCGAAGTTGGGCTCGTATGCCTCGGCGTCCTGCAATGCATCCATCAAGCCGAAGACGACGGTGTATCCGCAGTACGTGGGCATGCCATGCGGCGCAGCCATCGAATCGAAACGCTGCGCGTCCAATGAGAGGCGCTGGAAGCCAGCCTGCGCCGCGTTCCAGCGGAACAGATAAGGGTGATCTGAGACAGCCTTCTTCATGTTGTCCAGCCTGGGCGGCTTTTCAGCGGCCCCCTCGTCCGTCTGGTTGCCAGGGATGCAGGCGAGCTTCTTAATGATGTAGGACTTCACGAACGATTCCCTGGCCTCTGTCGATTTGTGGATCTTCAGCAGCAAGCTCGAACTCGAAGTTTCAGGGGCGTCCGCTGGGTTCTCCCATGGGGCAGTCGCGCCGACCATATCGGCCACGAACGCCTGCGCTCTCTTGAGCTGGTGCTCTGACGGCTGCGACAGATACCCCCGCGCCCTGTCGATGCCGTACTTGTTCAAGGAAAGAAACAACTCGTCGTGCAAGTCAATGTCCATCCCCATGGGCGACGTGAACAGCTCAAACACGGTCGGGTCGTCTTGAAACCACTTCTCCAGGACATTCACCTTCGCAGGGTTTGCCTCGAAGGTGGCGAAGTAGCCCACTACCCTCGGCCGCCTAGTCATTGAGTCCAGTTTGCTCGTGTGGGGGACATTCACGCGCGGAGCCTCGTTGCACTCCCAATTGAAAGCAGTGGTCCGCAAATTGACCATGAGCGCGACCTTGCCGCAGTTCGGCCTCGCGGGGAACTCTCCGCCCGAGAACATGTTCTTCAGTAAACCGCTACGCGCCACCGTCGTCGTGGACGCCTCCTGCATGGTAGCGGCTCGGCAGAACGCAACGTTGATGCCCTGCTTGCGGTGCTCCTCCTCGTTCTCGAAGCACGTGGAGGGGATGTACTTGCGGGTGTCCGAGAAGACGTTGTGGCGGAGGGCTGGGATCAAAGATTTGGAATTGCCGCCACTCCCTGTGTGGCACAAGCAAACGTGCGTATCTTGCTTCCCCAGAAGGCCGAGAATGTCGTTGGCGTAGACCATGCGACGGCCCTCGGGGTTCCCCGCGAACGCAGTCGTCAATGCCATCTTGAACTTCTTCCGCTCGTCCTCGGGCGGTTTGTAGGTCAAGTGGTTGCCCAGCTTGCATTTCATGTGGATGTAGCAATTGTTGCCCGCGGGCTTCTGGATGCGCTGTATGCTACCAGCTTCAGGCGCGTTCCCCGTGGGCGTGGAGATCTTGGCGCATGCATTGGTAAAGCATAGTAGAACGTGCCCCGTGACTGGGCGGTCCTGCTGGTAGAATTCGGCATGCGCCTTCAACGCGCCAGGCCCCTTCGCGGCATTCACGAAGTGCCAGGGCATGTTGGAGAGCGAGTACGCCGCTGCCGTTGCCCAGTGCTTCGCGCTGCGTAGTTCGAAATCTTCCACGGGGGCGAAGTTCGCCCACTGCTGGAAGTTCTTCAAGAAGGGAATGACGCTCCCCCACGTTCGTTCCACCTCTGCTTTCGCTGCCTCGCTCAACACAAATTTAGCAGCCGTCATCGCCTGCTCCATGCGGATGACCAGGCGCTGAGGCATCGAATCGACGGCGAGCCAAGCCCCTGCCGCAGATCAAGCCGACAACGCGCGCGAGGAGGAAATCACTCTTTGGGTCCCAGGTCATGCCCAAGTCGACGTAAAGGGCGACGATGGCTAGAGCATCCTTCTTCACGATGTCCATGCCCGCCCAGTCGTCCCCAAAATCAGTTGCAAGCCTGTTCGAGAGTCGCTTCGTCTCCTCCAGGAGAGTGGCCTTCGGCCTCGCCTCCGTCTCCACCATCTGGAACTTTAAGTGGCTGGCGTTTAACTCATCCAGTTCGTCGTCCTTCCACATGTCGACGTCGCTGTTAACCGCGGCCGCGTCCAAGCGCGCGCGCGCCGCTCGACAGGGGCGTCGGCAGGCGCCGCCATGCTCGCGACGCGCGTGGGGGGCGAGGTACGCGGGAAGTGCGACAAAGCAGACTCGCGACCGTCTCGGCGCAACCCTTCTTTGAGCCAAAACACCAGCAATGTGAAGGCGAATGCTCGTAATGATTGATCAATAACGTTCCCGTGTTGCCTTGCTGGGTTTGTCTTGTGTTCATGTGTGGGTGTCCTCCAGAACCCTCTCGTGGGCCTCTTGCGTGTCCTCTCCAATGTGCCCCCCCCTGGGCCCTTCCTGGGGGTGCTCGTGGGGTTCTGTGCGTTTCTCCTACTACCTCCACAATCGCGTAATGCTGAGAACAGCTGTTTCCGCTGCTTCTAGTCTGAGCCAGAGGAAGAGGAAGAGGAGGAAGAGCTCCTACCGTGGAAGTCGGACTCAGAAGAAGACGCCCCCGCAGAAGCGGATGAGGACGAGGAGAGCTTCTTCATGACCTTGCCCTGCCCCTTCGCATTGGCCTTCGCCTTGGCTCTGAGTATGCTCCTGCGCTGGCTCTCTGTGTTCCGATGCCGCTTCTCCTCCGAGGACATCGGCGCCCGCGTCGAAATCAGGGGGGGCGGCGCCTGCTTGCCGCGCAGGCGCCGCCCCTCCCCTGGACTCTTCCAGCCGCTGTTGCTCATCTGCTGCTCGACGGTGCGGGTGTTTTTCTTTTTCTCCTCCATGGGAGGCCCGCGGGGCATCTTCTGCTGTGCGGCGCGGCTGCTCTATCTCGAAGCTTGAACCTGGAAACAGCTACGGACAGGATGATGATGAAGATGATGATGATGATGATGATGATGATGACGAGTATCGTTATCAAGGCGCTGCCGGCGACGATAGTGGTACCAACCACGTGTTTCAAGACAGTGCCGATGACTATGGTGATGACGAGTATGGTCGTCAAGATGTTGTCAATCGCGATGCTGATGAAATGCCTCAGCCTGAGGATGATATCGACGACGATGCCGATGACACCAATTCCTCACAAGACGTAGGGGAGGACGATGGGGAGGGGGAGACGTAGGAGGATACCGATGACGATGGGGAGGGGGAGACGTAGGAGGAAGAGACTTCGTGGGAACAGTCTTGCGCCTCTTGGGAGGCCTCTGCGGGGCTTCCTGGGGGCCTTTTGGAAACCTCTTGGGGGCCTCCCTGCGCCTCTTGGGGGCCACTTGGGGGCCTGTGGGGGCTTCTTGGGGGCCTCCTTGGTAATATTACGGCGTTCCCGGCCCGTCTGACACCGTCGGAAACCGTCTTTGGGGCCTCTGTGAACCGACTTGGGGCTCTCCTGGGGCGTTGCAGGGCCGTCTTGAAGAATACCTTGGACGTTTTGGAGGTCGCCGTCTAAGGGGCCTCTTGGGCCGTCTTGGGCCATCGGAATGCCAACAAGGCGCAAATGCCAAACTCTGTTGAAAACCCTGGGGGGTCAGTGATGTTGGCCTCTTCGGACCTTCTTGGGGGAACTCTTGGTGGCCTCTAGGGCCGTCTGGGAAGCCCCTTAAGGGCCCCATTGAGCCGTCTTGGGCCATCTTGAAACCATTTTTGTTCATTCTTGTTTTCCAGAGAAATGCTGAGGCGAAGACAACATGTCGTGTGGGCAGTTTGTCCCGCACAACCCGCAGAGAACGCAACAATTAAATGGGCTTTGGACTGGCGAGGTCAGAAGCGATGGCTACAGAGCGAGTGAAGCGGACGTATGCAATGAACAATACCGTGCACTGCTATGTTCATTCTTGTTTTCCAAAGAAATGCTGAGGCGAAGACAACATGTCGTGTGGGCAGTTTGTCCCACTCAACCCATCCTCATGAATGCACCCCGTCTTCAAGCAATGTACTGGATTACCGCATCAAATTCCACAGGCGGCTAGCCCGCAGAGACAAATAGCTGTGGGAAAATTCTCGAGCGAGCACGGAGCACAGGCGCGGGGGGCAGGAAGCTTTAAGATGCGTAAGGAAGCCGGCCTTGGACTTACCAGACAGAACAAGGCGAGGCTTGCCCGAAAACGTGCAAACACCCCTACCTTTACAGTGCCATGTGTAAAGCTCTGGCGGAACGGATATATTGGCGAGAGCCCTACGAGTGCGCGCTCGAAAAGGACGGCCAGCGCCGCAATAGTCAAAGACAACAGTCTGGACATTGGCATGAAAGTGAAAACGCTGGCGGCTGGGGAGCAGCCACAGCAGACTAGATGCAGGATTTTCCTCTCCAGCTGGCAGCTGGCGTCTCAGGGCGATGCCTAGCAAGAGTGCGACTCTGTCAGCCAGCTTGTTCGAGGTAACGACATCGTGATAGTCGACGCCCTCCAGGCCTGGCAGGCCTCGCAGGTGCTCCTTCGTCCGCAAGCGACGAGGCATCACACTGTGAGGCGGGGCCCTGCGAGCCTGTGACCATTTTTCACAAGGGCTGCGACAATTTTTCACAAGGGCTGCCTGAAAACATGCCCCAGATGATACCAGACTCAAGCCAGCCTCGAAGGGCGCGGAAGACATCATCTTGCAGCAAGTCGCACTCTGGGCCAAGGAGTACGTCAATTGAAACAACAGCGTGCCCCCTTTTCTTTAGCTCGGCGGCGAGGCCACCCGAGCCTGAGAAGAGATCCAGGAACGCCCGCCGTTCGCCAAGGCGGCCGGCGCGGAGGGCAGCACGTAGGCGATGTCGAAGAGCTGCGGGGCGGCTGCCGCCAAGATCTCGCAGCTCATCCTCTGGGCGCTGCTGAGGGCCTGCCTGACCACCGCCAGCCGACCGGCCTTGTCGTACCTCCGAACTGGCGAAGTCGTCCTCCACGTTCCTCGCCTCCGCACCTCCAGCAGTGCGCGGTACCCTGCAACGCAGACGTCTGTCGCGTCGCCGTGCCTCAGGAAGTGCGGCGAGCAGTCCAAACCTTCGAGCTTGAGGTACTGACAAGCAACATGGAAGTCGACCAGGCGCTGCGGGTGCGAGCTCTCGAACAGCAGCTCGTCCCCGAGACGAAGCAGCTGCAGCCGCACGACAGCACGCCCAATCCAGTGACGTCGATGAAGGTCGAGCCCCACTGTGGAGTCGAATTCGCCCGTCTTGGAGCTGGTAGTAGGCTCCTCTGGGTGCAGGAGCAGGAGGGGTTGCTGCAGCCCTCCGACCACTCTGCACCTGCCTGGCAGAAACTGCATGGCCAGAAAGGTCGCGGTCTCCGACGGGTTCAGGTCGTACTCGAAGGTCACCAAGATGCACCGCCCCGGGTCTGGCTTCCCCCGCGAGGCCAGCACGGCCGCCATCGCGCGCGCGAGCGCCCGCGGCAGCGGCTGGCGGGAGTGGCCCGACGGGCGCTGCGTCCCGTCTGACAGCGACGTGTTCGCCGGGGGAAAGAGGCGCCGAACGGGCCTTCCCAGCGCGGGCTCGCCCCCAGCCAAGGCACAGCGGGTGCGGGAGAACGCCTCCTGCCCCATGCCGCGGTCGAAGGCCCACTCGGAGTAGTCCACCAGCGTCTCGTCCGACTGCGCGGGAGTCCAGCCCGGCAGCGCCAGCAGCCGCGGCGAGCCCGAGCGCATGGTCAGCGCCAGCAGGCACGAACGCACGGTGACGTGTCGCACCCGACGCGCCGCCAGTCGCGAGCGCCGCGGACGCAGCAGCGCCCGCCGCGAACAGCTTTCTGCGGGCCTGTCGCCCAGCGGCGCCTGGGATGTCCAGCCCCGGCGGGAGCCCGAAGGGCCTGGCGGCCCGTGCCCGCCGCGCCAGTCGGAGGCGCGCCGGGTGGTCGGCGCCGGCCTGGGCTCTGCTGCATCGCGGGCGCGCTTGCCGTAGGCGGGGCTGACCGAGTAGACCGTCGTTGGCATGGTAGTGCTCCCTCGAGCCGATGTCTCCGGACAGAGGCCCAGCGTGATGTGTGCCGATCTCCTCCAGGCCTGGGAGTGTGCTGCACTGTCCGACAACGTGGTGCTTCCTTGCGCCTGGCATGAACCTGCGAGAGGGAGCGTCACCAGGGTTGAGCTCTGATGGGATCCACCTGAACCTGAGCTGCATCCCAGAGGCGACTGAGATAGCGCAGATCTCCCGACAGATGACGTTGAGTGCAAAGTGTGCAGCTCTGCCCTTTTCACACGCGCAAGCCACCCCGAGGTTGTCACCCAGGATGAGGTGCCGATGTCCATGCAGCTGCGAGTTGCGCGCAAGGCGCCGCACAGCCCAGCGCGCCCCCTCAGCCTCTAGGACGTGGATGGCCGCGGCCCGCCGCCAGCGACGGGCGGCCGCGACCGCCCAAGGTTCTGCCAAGAGCCGCGCTGCCGGCACCTCCTCAATGTGGGTCAGGGTGCCCTCCGCGGTGACATCGGCCGCCGTGGCGTGCAGGAGCTGCTGTTCGACCAGCGTGTCCCTGGGGGCATAATCGGCCGTCAGGACTCCTCTGAAGCGACTGCGCTCCGAAAGGCTGCCAACTCGCCGAACATCACTGATGGGCCACGGCTGCTCCACCACGCCAAACCCCCATGGCGAGGCGTCTGTGGCGGTGACCCGTTCGCACCAGGGGCGGCTCAGCGAAACGGTCACGCAGGGAAGCAGCGCTCTGAACCACGTGAGCTCTCGCCTCACCGACGACCAGAGAGGCTGCCGCTTGTCACGCGACCGCCTGCAAAACTCGTAGATCGCATGGAAGAGCGAGAGCATGTGCCGCTGCAGCATGACAGCCGCGGTGATGTGGCCCATCAGCCTCTCGAGCTCGCGCCCCGTGACAAGACGTCCAGGTGCCAGCGCAAAATCGAGGCTGAACTTCAGCCGCCAAAACTTGCTGTGCGACAGGCGCCAGGTGGCCGAGGGCTTGTGCAGCACGAAGCCGAGAAGAGCGTGCATGTCCCCATCATCGCGGTCAAAGGAAGCCTGAATCCCCCGCGCACCCAGAGCGGCCAGCATGCGCTCCACCTCCAGCGCGGGGTCGCCGCTGCCTGACGTGAAGACTGCGACGTTGTCGATGTGCAGCATCTTGGCGGTGGCACACTGAGTCCCCGGCGCCGGCGTGGGCACCTTGTCAGCGATCCAGGGCGCATCCGGGCTGATGGTGCTCAGGACATGGGCATGGGCCTCTTGAGTGAGGTGCACGGCCCACGACCAGCCCATGGGGACCACTCTGGCAACGAAGTGGATCATCTCCGAGGGGTCCGAAACCCCCAGCCGCTGGCGGGCTGCCGTATCCAAGAAGCGTGCTTGGACCGCTGGCAGACCGAAGAAGGCACGTGCCCACGATGGCAGCTCGTACTGGTAGAAGCAGCACTCGACGTCACCAGAGGCCACAGCAATCCCTCCAGCAGCGTCGACCTCCAAGTTCGCCAGGGCCTCCCCGCTCGCGAGCAGCGTGTAGGGCGGGTCCTGGAAATGGGCATTAGACCTTCGGGTGTCGAAGATCAGCCGCAGCGACGAGTCCTTCTTTGGGACGAAAAAGATGCCAGCGCGCTCGATGATGCTGCCCTCGGCCGCAGGCACAATGATGCCCGCGGAGAGCAGCTCGGAGAGGCACTCGCCATACTGGTAGCCATGCCGCTGCAACACTGGGTCCATGGCGCAGACCCTGGGAGCCTCACCCAAAGCAAAATTGCGAGCCTCTGGCTCTCGTAACATCTGCGACGAGTCACACAAGAGAGACTGCAGGTGCGGCGGCAGGACGTCAGCAAGCCGTACCCGTCCCGCCGCAGCCCGCGGGAGCGCCATGGCCCCCTTCCTGTAGGTTGTCGAAGCACCTTCGGCCATGCCGTCTGCATAGCCGTTCCGCGAAGCCTGGAGCGTCTGCCACGCCCCCAGGGGAGTCAGGTCGGATGGCGGCGGCTCCACACTGCCGTAGAGCTGTGCGAGGCGCCGCACGGCGGCGACCTGGCAGGCCGCAGGGGCCCCCGCGGGGGCATCCACCCCGCGGCCACCGAGGTCGTTCAGCGCGGCGATGCCCTCGCGCAGCCAGACCTCCTGATGCCGGCGCTGCCGCCCGCGCCGACCGCCGCCGTGCGGCAGAAGGCGGGCCGCCGCTCCGTGCAGCAGCTCGTCGAGCGTCACGCCCAGCGGGAGGGGCAGGACGTCGCGCGCGATGCCAGTGTCCGAGACTCCTTGCGCCGAGGCCGCCATCACCATCGCAGTGGCGGCCCTCCCCTGTGAAAGCGCCCGCTGCCCGGGGGGCTGCAGCGGCCGCGCACAAGCCGAACAACAGGCGGCGGGCTAGGCCCGCCCGCGGCCGCGGCCACCGCGGCCTCGGCCGCCAGGGCCGCCGCCGCCTGCGCCGCCGCCGCCACCACCTTGATCGCCACCTCCTGGTGCGGCGTCGGCGCCGCTGCTGCCCACGCCGCGGGCCATGCGGCGCTCCTCTCTGCCCTTGCGCCTCTCCTTGAGGATGGCGCTCTCCTCCTGCATCTTCTCTGCCACGTGCTTCTCCAAGGATGGCGCCACGAGAGCATGGCCCTTGGAGCGGGAGCCGCCGAAGAAGATCCTGCGCTCGTCCAGCCAGCCGTCCGAGTCTGCCGTGGCCCCCGCCGTGCCTGAGACCTCGACCTGGCGCAGGGCCTCGGAGTACACCTCCTCCCACAGCTGAAATCGCCTGGCTGCCAGCTCGAACGCCTCGCAGCCGGGGAGGTTGAGCTGGTCGGCCGTGGAGGCCGTCTCGATCAGCTCGCACAGGAACAAATGCTCGTCGACCCCGAGGTCGGCCGCCGCCAGCCCCAGGATCTGACGCCACCAGTAGTGCCGCTGGACGGGCCCGCTACCCTGCTCCAGATGTGCCTGAAGCAGCCAGCCGATGGTAGCGGGCCCCTGCACGCGCCACTCCTGAGTGCTGAGCACCTCGCGCTGCTCGGCCACCACCTCCGCGAAGGCGCGCCGCCGCTGGCCCGCACCGCTCCTCCGGTACATCAGGATGCGCTCGTCCAGGACTTCATCCCGCGCGTCCCGTGGAGAGAGCGGCGCCTCCTCGGAGAGGGCCCCCACTCGTCCCAGCGCGATGACCCCCTCCGGGAACGAGGCCATGGCGCGATCGTCCAGGGCGTAGACGGAGGCGAACGTCACGTCCACTGGCGAACCCCGCCTGAAGCCCAGCCGCGACTCCAGGGCGACCCAGCCGTCGTCCAGCTGCACTGGCGGCAGGGGCCCACCGCCGGCGCCCGCGCGAGGCGGGGGGGCGTGGCTCGGCGGTGGCCGCGGCGGCTCCGAAGCGCCAGCCGCCGGGCCGACCTCGGAACCACGCGGCGTGTCCGTGCCACCGTCCGCCATCACCGGGAGTACGTGCTGCTTCCCACGGAGCCGGCGGACCACCCCGGGCGCCACCGCCACTGAGTCGCGGCCGGCCTCGCGGCGCTCGGACTCCGCCAGCTGCGCCCCCTCGTTCAGGAGGGCGGCCAGAGCCTGCTCGTCCAGGTCGAAGCGGTACAGCATCTTCTTGCGCAGCTGAGGCGGGGCTCCCCCTCGTGGGCCAGCTCGGTGGATCTCCGCGTGATCCTCGTCGGCGAAGTCTTCCACGTACACGTCGGCGTCAGGCGTCGCCACCACCCACCGTGAGCCGTCCACGTGGCCGCGCAGAAGCCTCTCGTGGAACAGACGGCCCTCCAGGCTGTACAGACAGTATAGCTTGTCCCCCAGGCGGACCGTCTTCAGCAGGTCGGGAAGCCCTCGCGGAACCATGGCCATGGAGCCTGCCAACGAGGAAGCCAATGATGATCGCGGCGCACACAGCTAGGCACAAGACTGAGGCGACCTCCCAGAAGCTCGAGGGGCACTCCAACGGGGCGCTCCGAAGCTGCTCAGGGCAACACTTGTCTAGCTGGCGCTGCAGGACCTGCAGCAGCTCTCTGTCGTGCTCTCCTGTGAAGGTGCACGTGCAGTGGCAATCCCTGCGGAGAGATGTCCGGAGGTTGGCGGCGCACAGGCCAGTCGCAGCCCAATCGCGGACTACTGGGGCGAGTCCGTACGCGAGCCCTGCCATAACAAGCGAAGCTCTGAGCAGAAGCGATGGCTACAGAGCGAGTGAAGCGGACGTATGCAATGAACAATACCGTGCGCTGCTAGGGCCGTTTTGGGTGCATTTTGTGCCGTCTTGAAAGCATCCTGGGGTCATGTCAGACGTCTTGGAGGCCATCTTGGCCGTCGTGGAAGCTTGTCGGGGCCTTCTGGGGGCCGTGTTGGGAGCCTCTTGGGCCGTCATGGAGGCCTCGTGGGCGATCTTGGGGCGATATTGGGACCTGTTGGGCTGTCTTGAACCGTCGGAATGCAACAACAATGGTAATATGTTTGTTTTATAAGCAAAAACATTGTGTTTGAACTATCCGGGTCCTCCTGGGGCCAGTCTTGGGCCATCCCGGAAGCATCTTAGGCCGTCTTGGGTGCATCTTGGGTCGCTATGGAGGCATACTGGGGCAATATTCGCCGTCTTGGAATTCATGTCGGCCGTCTGGAAGGCCTCTTGGGGGCCTCTTGGGCCGTCGTGGGCCATCCTGGAGCCACCTTAGGCCATCTTGGGTGCATCGCGGGCCGTCTTGGAGGCATCCTGGGGCAATGGTGACCGTTTTGGAAGCCATATTGGCCGTCTGGAAGGCCTCTTGGGGCCGTCGTGGGGGCCTCTTGGGCTGTCATGGGGCCATCTTGGAGGCCCCGTGGGCAATCCTGAAGCGATCTTTGGGGCCTTTTTGGGCCGTGTGCGTAAGATTCTGCCCCATCGTTCATCCTAGATATGAAATCGCACCGTCCCAGGGGGGGCCGTGCCCGCCCCGCCCCGCCATCCCCTGCCAAAAAACGATATGCACTCGCACTCGCTTATCAGTAATTATCAAGCTTCAAAACAACATCTCTTGCGCAAAAAGAACTGACGTGCGCGCGCGTCGTCGCGCGCGCATGCCGAAATCCTGCGAAAGCGTTTCTCAAGTTCCGTAGAAATTTCAAAACCGAATGTCAAACAACAAATCGCAACATCAACTTTCAAAAAAGGATGCGCGCGCTCTCTTGCATCTTAATATAAACGCATGTTATTGTGTTGTGTTGCTTGTCTCCGTGTGCACATACATTGCTACCAAACCGGTTTCGCGCGCACATGTCAAATCGTTCAAAAGTCTGTGTGCGCGTGCCGTCGCGAGAATCGCCTGGAAAATTATAGAATACACTCGCGCGCGTTGTCCCGCGCACGTGCCAAAATCCGTCCGTGCGGGCCACTTTCGCGCAAGTCCAACTATCTCCAAAATCTTCATCACCGACGCAGGGGCGCCGTCGCCGTCGCCAGCGCGATCGGCACTTTGCGCCGTCGATGGCCGCGCCCCCGTCGTCGTTGTCAACATTGTCACCAGCATCGCTATTCCATCATCGCGTCTACCGTTGTCGACGTTACCATGATACCGCGCCCGCCAAAGTCGCCGATTCGCAGTGAAGTGCCTGCTGGGATGTGCCCAGCGGTCAGCGCCAACGCGGACGCGTCATTCGCGCCAAAATAGCTGGCCGCTGCGCGCGCGCTTGGGTTGGCGCGGCCGCTGAGATGCAGCAGCCAACGCCAAGCACGCATCGCAATCGCCACCGCGTGGATTTTGCGCGCCAGCTTGCGGGTGGGTGGGCGAGATTCATTGCAAGAGCGCGGAATGTGTCAACCCGTTTGTTGCTATCAATTGCGCAACATTGGCTGCAACATACGCATTGCAAGACATACGTTGCGCAACGTACATTGCATACTGCACACCACAGTTTGCGCACATCAGATTGCGCAACATTTGCTGCGCACAAGATAGCGCACATGCATATATATGTATATGTATAAATATATGCTTGCCCCCCCCCCCCCCCCCCCCCCCCCCCCCCCCGCCGCCCCCCAGCACCCCCAAGCGACGGGCCGGGGAGGGGGGGTGCGTCCTCCTCATCTTCGTCGTCCTTCTCATCTTCCTCCTCTCCTCATCCTTATCTCCTTATCTCCTTATCTTATCTCTCCTCCTCCTCCTGCCCCTCCTCTGCTTCTCTCGCGGGGTGCAAGTCGCGCTGCATCTCCATCCGTCTCAACCCAATTGTCGAGACTGTAAGGTGGAGGGCATTTCGCCCCGCTTGGAGAGGAAGAGGTGGAGGAAGGAGGACAATGAGAGGAGGGGGAGGAGGAGGAGGAAGAGGAGGAGGAGGAGGAGGAAGAGGACGGGGCGAGGATGAGCATGTGGAGGAGGAAGGGAAATGATTTTGCAACGTGTCGTAAAACGCTATATCTAGTGGCGTTGTTGCTCAAACCGCCCAGCACGGGGAGACCTAGGAAAAAGCATGGGGCGCTGAAGAGCAAGACGCGCAAAGGGAACAACAAGGCGCGGAACAAACAGCGCAAGCGCGCGCGGTTGGACGCCAAGCGGAAGGAGCTCTTCCCCGACTTCTACGGGGTCTACGAGACAGAGCTGAAGGTGAAAGCTCTTTGGCGCCAGAAGGCCGCCGTGCCCAAACACCCCCCCGCACGCAGGACACCGAGAAGCGGACCCCTCAAACCCACACAAAGGGGAACACATATCAACAGATGTTCCGCGCACTCCGCACAGGCGCGCGACTGGGGCCCTCAAGAACAAGGGCCTCGCCAGCGCCAACAAGGCCTTGCTAAAGGCCGAGGCGGCCAAGCACATGGAGCTCATGCAGAAACAGAAGGCCAGCGGGGGACTGAGAGACCAGCCGCACGAACCCTCCCACCTTGTAGTTTTGGTTCGGCGAGTAGTGCTGCTTTGCGGCGCCTCTCGCCGCAACCGAAACTGAACGCAGGTGTTTGGGCGCGCTGTTGGTCTTCCAGCGTTCGCCGGGAGCTAGAACTGGAGCGCGGTGGCCGCGCCCACGAGAGGTTCATGAACTGCCTTGACGCGCAGCACGAAAGAAAGCTGAACAGAGACCTCAAGAAGGAGAACCAAGAACTCCTGCGACAGAAGCGGGTGGCGGAGGCCGAGCTGGCGAAAACCGAGAAGGAGAAGAAGAAGCAGGCCAGGGGGACAACAAAACAAACTACCCCTCTCGCTTAGCTGGGGGTTCGGGGGCAAGGGGCTGCGCTGTCTGCCCGCGCGCCCAGGTCGACCGGCTCTTCCGCCAGCTGCGCTGGTGGAGGACGCACTGCCTCCACCTGAACCCGCGCGAGCCCCCGCTGCCCGACTGGCACTGGGGCTAGCGGGCGAGCGCCTGCCAGGCGGAGAAAGGAAGAGCGCCGCGGACGGGCGAGAGAGCGGGGCGGGGTCGGGGGGCAGGAGCGAGGCAGAGGAATAGAGATGAGGATTTTTATTTGCGGGCTCAAGGGAGGAAAAACAGGGGAACCCAAAAAATGGGTTCCCACCTCCGCCAAAAAAAACACTATTCAGTTGAACGTGATTTATTACGCAGCCCGAACTCAGTAAAGGAAACAATCATATAGCAAATCATGCCGCTTCATGGTTGGAACGAAAGCAATGCAGGTGTGATCCTGGCGTTGATGCTGTTGGTGCTGTTGCTGGTGGTGGTGCTGTTGTTGGTGCTTGTGGCGCTGATGGCGTTGCTGCTGTCATTTGAAACAACGCACAGTTCGATGCCATTTACGCAGCCGTCTGTGCTCAAACGCAGGTGCGAAACCATTCCCCGCCTCCAGCATGGCGCACGAGTTTGCGTTCATCGGCAACCCCGCCTACGGCGGCGGCGTGCCGCCAGCCGCGGCCTGGCGCAATGTCGGGCCCAACCAGTCATTGCGTCTGGCAGCTGGCGAGGGCGGGAAAGGGAGGAAGGGCGGGTGAAGAAAAAAAGTTATTTCGGCCCTGCGCCCAGGACCGCTTCACCGTGTGCGTCTGGCCCCACCGCTTCGAGTACAGCAAGACTCTCGTGCAGTTCGTCGCGGACGGGCTGTCTTTCCACCAGTGGACTACGTCGGACCCAGCCATGGGCCCGATCATTGTCCGCCCGTACATGTGCTTGGAGGTTCACGCGACGCTCATCGCCCGCAACGACCAGGCGCCTGCCCTGGCTCGATCAGTCCACGACGTCTGGTGTGGCGCCGCCGATCGCTCCGATTGCCAGCGCCGATGCGAGCGATCATTTCGACGTGACCGAGCCGATCGATCCGACTTCGAGTTGCGATTTCTGTGACCCTGCCGATCACGATCTGCGGTCGAGCCGATCAATCCGAATCCGAGCTGCGATTTCACTGATTTGGCCGATGCGATCACCCTCTGCGGTTGCATCCAAGGCTCGCACGTGCTGCGTTCGTCTGACGTCTCCCTACGTCGTTGGATGGGCGGTCGACAGGGAGGTGGACTGGTCGACTACATGGAGTTGGATGGAATGGCGCATCCAGGCCGAGCTGGGCCTGCCGCCTCACCGCACCCTAGTGTTCGATGCGGAGGGCGACCAGCCTTCGCACCGCCAGCGCGTGGGCTCCTCGCTCGGGTGCCGCGCCGTGCGCCGCCGCTTCGGCCGAGGCGCGGGCCCGGAGCGCGGCCCTCGGCGCTAGCGAGGGAAGCCATTGGTTGTGATCTATGAACTTGAGTTGTGCGCATTCTCGACCGCCGACGGAAACGCGAGCCGCAGGCAGCGGCGCGTTTGGCCCTTACCCCGCTCGCGCCCCGCCCCGCTTCCGCTTCAGATGGCAGAATGCCGTAGCTTGTTCTGGCTCAAGTGATCTTCGCCACCGCCGCCTGCGCCGCCTGGCGGGACTGCCGCTGCGGGCTGCGATGCCGAACTTTCCCTTGCCGAAGAAGGGCAAGCGCAGGGCGGCCAGCCAGAACCAGTCGGTGAAGAAGGTAAAGAAGGCAGTAATGAAGGCCGCAGACAGCCCCCCCCCAAGCGCATACCCTACGTGAGGCACGGGATCCGCACAGTAAAATCTCGGAACGAGAGGATGAAGTGGCGCGCGGGGCTGTCCGACTTCATGAACAAGGGGCAGAAGCACGTCATCGACGTGCTCAAGAAGCACGGCCACTTGCCAGAGTGGGCGGGGGCCAACTGCCCGCTCTGCACCAAGGGCACCCTCGGCAAGCTTCAAAAGTGGTCTGATAAGCAGGGCGGATGGGGCCACAGGTGCAACCACAGTGGGTGCCATCGGCACGTCTTGCCGCGCGCGTTTCACCCGATCTTCGTGGCAGGCACAGGGCAATCGCACGCGCCCCTGCGAGATCAGGCGTCCGCCTTATTCTCGGCCGTGGCGGGGGCCTCGCAGGTGTGCACTGGGCGCCTCGTCCAGAATAATCACAAGATGGTCGAAGGCATATGCGGGCGCCTGTATGCGGCCAGGGAGAGATACGTCGCGGCGAAAGAGAAGTCCATCCAGTTCGGCCAGGGCGAGGCCTGGAAGGACATCGAGGCCGACGAGGTGGACCTCGCGAAAAAGGTGTCCGAGGACGGCGGCTCCAGCCCTGTCGACTGGGAGCAGTGGGGCGGGATCTTGGAGAGAGGCGCTCCAGACGCGCTCGTGCTCTTTAGGCTGAGGCCCGTGAAGACGAAGAAGAGGGCGCCAGGCCCAGGGGCCATTCGCAAGCGGGACGGGATGCCCGCGGCGAAGAAGTGGCTCAAGGGCCGCCGCGTCATTCTGCACGCGGACGGCGCCAAGAGTTACAGGGTCAAGTTGGACGGCGTGAAGCACGACTACGTCGTCCATTGCCGCAAGCGCGTCAATGTCAACGGGAAGCGCATCTGGGCGAGGCCGAAGTACGCCAAGCCCCGCTTCCACAACATTGCCGAGGACGGCGCGCCCACACAGAAATTGTGGGTGATGGCTGGGACGCAGGTAATCGACCGCTGCTGGCACGGTCTCCGCAAGCACCTCGGCAGCGTCAAGGTCGTGAATACAAAGCTTCTCCGCCAGAAGATCCGTTCGTTCCAGTGGGAATACTGGAACCGCGGTGCCGACTACTGGCAGCGCACGGGGGACATGCTGATCGACTTGTGGCACAAGGACTTCGGTAAATGAGCCCGCGCGGCTCGGCTTGGCGACGCGGGGCATCCAGCGGCCAGCGCTGCCCCGCGCGATTTCAACTTATTAGAGCGATGTTAGCGATGCGCCTAAACGCCTCCTCACGGAGCCGACTCAGAAAAAGGGTCAACACCAGTCCCGCATTCCATAATCGTGATCACGTCGCCGTCGCCCCTCCTCCTCCTGTCCACAAATGCCACTGTCCTCCTACCTGGCGGCTCGCCCCCCGCAGCTCGTCTGCGCTCAGCGTTTGCGCGGCCTTGCCCGCCCGCCAAGGCCTCCGCCCGCTCCGCCTTTCTCGCCCCGCCAGCCATGGCCAGCGCCCCTGCCGACCAGGTCCCCTCTTTGGGGCAGGTCGCACACGACGCTGCCGGCGACGGCAAGCTGACCTTCGAGGAGGCGAGCTTGATGGTCAGCGGGAGCAAGTTGGACTTTTACCCCTCGAAGTGCGTCAAGAAGGACAGGTTGTCTTTCGCTGGTGACCTTTCAATGTTCGACCTCCCCCTGGTGCCGATCGCAAATTCGAGCACTACGAAATTGGTAGCAGTCGCCGACGTCGCGTCCGACTACGCGGGCCCAATTGACTTCAAAAAGGTCCACGAGCTGTGCTGCAATGGCAATTTCAAGGGCTTGCAGGACCCATTGTCTCTCAAGAAGGAGCCTGCAATTCCGCGCGCGATGCAGCTGTTCATCATGCGCGAGAACCCCGCGGACCCCGAGCGCTCCACCTACCGCATCCTCAAGATTGTCAGCTTCGAGAAGAACAGAGTCGACGCTGCGACCATCTTGAGCTGCGCCCGCAGGGAGTCCCACAAGATCAACTACGGCAAAAACTTCAGGTCGGGCTCGATTGCGTTCCAGTGAATGTTGGAGAAGCTCGAGGGCTACCAGATACGGTGGGGGCATTAGATAAGGAACGCCCTCCTGAGTGCCAGACTCTGGCGCATTCCCCCCGCGGGCTGCGTGGCAAATGTTTGAGCGCCCATCGGCCGCGAGACCCTTGCGTCCTTCTCGAAGCTATTCTTATCCAAGGCCTCCACCGTAAGGTACTACACGATCAAGCCGCAGCACGAGCGGAAGCAGCCGCTAGAGCAAGATGGGCGCGCGCAGGGGTACGCGTTCATCCGTGAGCACGGCCCTCGCAGTAACAACATGAACCAGTTCCTGGAGTGGGCCGACGCGGAGGTGAATAGAGAGGGGTCGAACATTTTCGGTTGGCCAGCCGCCAAGGCGGAGACCGCTTTGCGCAATCATCAGAAAGGGAGGACAAACGCCAAGCCGATTGCGCGATGGAGTTTGACGGTGAAGGATTTCGCTGGCTGGTTCCTCAACGGCGTCCTCAAGTTCACGATTGGCACCCTCCATCTGCACGGGGCCTTGTGGATCGGGAAGTCCAGGGTCGGCAAGAACAACGGCTCCAAGACTTTGGCCTGGGCGCACTCGGCGTGCAGCATCCAGATGAAGGGGTCCGCCGACGACATCGCCTTCCTGACTGTCAAGCATATGGATTTCTTCCAGGGAGAGCCGACGACGGACGTCCTTCCTGGGATTTTCGACGACGGCCTCCTGCAGAAGGTTCGGTGGTCACGCGTGGCCCCTGCCCTTACTGCCCGCTCTTTCCTGGGGGGGAGGGAGTGCGGTTCTTTTAGTCGGGGTGGCCCCGATCGAGGCGAACCCTTGCGACCCTCTCCCGCTTGGAAATCGCGGTGGTGGTGATAGGGCCAGCGCGTGACCGACTGAAGGTATCGGCTGACGTCCTCAAGGCTTTCCTCAACCCCAAAGAGGAGGACGCCCTGCTGTGGGCTCGGTGGGGCGGCTGCGGTTTCGAGCAAGGGTCGCGCAGGCAAGCCGTTGCTAACCCTTACGACCGCGACGCGGAGATGGCGGCGCTGGATGCCGCGACGCGCAATAAGTACGACTTGGACCGCTTCAAGAAGATCGTCGCCCCGTCACTCGAGGAGGTGAAGACCGAGGAGGACTTCAATGCCATCCTCGCCAGGTCGCACTTCGTCGTGGTCACGGACCTCGGCGTGCACTGGCGCGTGGCGTCCGCAGATCTGGAGGACGGCGCCGAGTTCATGCCGTGGCCCAACCCCAGAGCCCCCGACCTCTTCGCCAGCGAGGTGCGGGACGCGTCGTCGCCAGCTGTCCGCCCGCTCCCTTCAGACTATGCCGACAAGATGGAATGGTATATCGGCTACATGAGCAGTCTGGTGGAGGGCTGTGACGCGCCCACGGTTGCGACGGTCCGCATTGCCCCGATGTTTGGTGATGGCCCTGGACGCACGGTTTCCGTTGTCGGCAGCATTTCGGGGTTCGTCGAGCCAGGCGCGGCTGCAAGCGCATCGTCCGCCCCCGCGGCCGCTTCGGCGTCTCGTTCCGATGGCGCGGCAGACGCAGCAGCCGCGGCCGCTTCGGCGTCTCGCCCCGACGACGCGGCAGACGCACCATATGAGGACGACGTGTTCGGTCTCGGCGGCGGCATGGATGGGCCAGAGGAGAGCGCCCCCGCCGCAAGCGCCGCGCAGCCTGACATCGTGGGACGTTGCGGGGAACTGACGAAGGAGGACCAGGACGAGCAGATCGCCATTTTCAAGAGCCTCGCCAGGGCGCACCACGGCGCCTTCGAGGACTTGTGCTCGCCTCCGCCAGTGAAGAGGGCGAAGGGGCTCATGGTGGGATGCGGAGGTCCGCTGTCGGGAGAGGACGCCGCGGAACAAGAGGCGATATTCGCCTCCATCGTCGCCTCGGCCCACGGGGAGACGATCGCCGTCGACGACGACGACGACAACGACGGCACCCTGGAGGCCGAGCTCGGGCGCCTGATTGAACAGGGCGATCAGGCTTCGGAGCCGGCGGCAGCGCCCCCCAGCGATACCGAGTGAGCGGGCGGCCGCGCCCTGCGAGCGCGCATTGGGCGCTACGCAGTCGGCGCCGAGGGCCGTCGGCGCGACGCGTGCGCTCACGTATGAACCACTATTGTTTTGTACTATGCCGACGGAGGAGGACGAGGAGGAGGACGAGGAGGAGGAGGAGGAGGAGGAGGAGGAGGAGGAGGAGGAGGAGGAGGAGGGGGGAGGAGGAGGAGGAGGAGGAGGAGGAGGAGGAGGAGGGGGGGAGGAGGAGGAGGAGGAGGGGGAGGGGAGGGGGAGGAGGGGGAGGAGGAAGGGGGAGGGGGGGCGGAGAGGGGGGGGGAGGAGGAGTCAACAAAAAACGCTTGAGAAAACAAAAAAATACAAACAAAAACAAACAAAAACTATGATTTCGGGAGAACTTCGGGGGGGGGAGGCCAAGGTTCTCCCGAAATCATGTTTTTTTTTTTTTCCAATGGCTTTCGCTGTTTTTCGCAATGTCGCTCATTTCTCGCAGGTCTTCGAAGGCGTTCGAGGAGGAGGAGGAGGACGACGAGGACGAGGAGGAGGAGGAGGAGGAAGAGGAGGAGGAGGAGAAAGACGACGAGCAAACGATCAGTCAAGGTTTTGTGATTTTGGTGGTTTGGGGGTGCTGGGGGGGGGGGGCGACCAAATATATGCATAAAAATGTGTACTCATACATGTGTGACGCATAGCTTGCACCGCGTACGTTGCACAACGTATATGCACCACATCTATTGCTAGAAACATATTATGTACCAGCTGGGGGAGCCTGTGAGTCTTGAGCGCAGCGCGGGATCACACTGGCAGGCACGATGACAATTCCCCTCCAGACACTCCCGCCCGGTTGATTTGGAGCGGATGCGGGTCAAACTTGACAACGGGCTCCACCAGCTCCGAGAAGCTCCCACGCGCGCCAAAACTGTCCATCGCTATCACGCCACCAACTTGTTGGGTCCATGCTGGCTGGTTTTTTCATGCAAGCCGAAGGAATTACGTCGGACAGCCGCGGACGAAATATTCGCCGCACACCTTCCAAACCCGCGCAGCGAGTCCGGGGATGCACTTGGATAAGGGCCGTGACACGGGCGGAACTATGCGATTCGCCGAAGTGCGAGGCGTATGGGCTGCGTTTGTATGGCATTTGGCCCCACCCGCCTCCGCTGGCTTCCCTCCAACAGCGCCAGGCAGAAAAGGCGTACAAGCGAGTCCCGACTTGGGTGAAGTCGAAGTTACCTCTCCTGCCTCGCCGCGCCGCCCCCGTTCTCTCCATGCAAGCAAACTTGCCAGAGTCTACATCACAAAAAGTGTATGCCTCAAGTTGGTGGATCCTTGTGGCCTCCCAGGCTTCCGGTGTCTTGGTTTCACGAATACGCGGCAGGCCAGCAGACCCTTCAACCTTTCCCCGTGGACCAACATGTCGTCCTGGATTGCTTGACAATGGCCCCTGGCCCAGAAACGGCCTGCGGATGGCGGACGCCGCAGAACTACGGAAAGCCTCCCCAATGCTGGGGGTCCGGGTCCTCAAGTAGAGAGACAGTCCTTGGACTTATCTTGAGGCCCCTACTGGCCTGTTGCCTCATTCGGCGCACCCAGAACAAACGCCAGCAGCGAACTGGCCAAGCTGTAACCCGTGGCCTCGGCCCGATTGCACCGGTGAAATCTCGAGTTGCGCAGGTGCACGCGCCGGGCACGCAAGGGGAGGGAGAGGAAGCGAAATGAAAGGCAGACGAGGGAGAGAAGGGAAAGGGAAACATGATGGCGGCGACCGCGCAAAGAGATGTCTCCTGGATGGGATCCCAGAAAAGGCTCAAAACTTCAAAATCCTCGACCCTCGACCATCGAAACTCGAGAACGCGAGGCGGGAATTTCGATATATGTCCAGCCCGATGGTGCGGCTGATTTGGATACGTTCGGGCCCCAGGGCCCCCCAAAATGCAGAGCAATGGTCAAAGGCAGGCCGGTGTCCTGGAAATTGGATACGGAGAAATCCCGGCCGCGAAGAGATGACCAGGAACCGACCGTCCCGGCATTCCGATAGGCCTACCACGAAATGCTCTTAGAACTCAAATGTTCTAAGAGCAAAAACATGTTCTTAAAATTTAAGCCCGAAGCGTTAAACAAAGACAGTCCCAACTAGAAATGTTCTGATAACATTTCGTGGAAACCACAAAAGGTGACTTGAACATTGTTTGGTAGGCCGAACGGCACGCCAGGACGCTTCGCCACTGCTTGAAAGACGTGCTGCAGCGGATTTCTGCGTGGATTTCTGAATGGATTTCTGCCCGAAGCGGCGAGCGAAAAACGAATAACATTTCGCGTGGATTTCCCTTGGTTTTCATTCCTGGCCAAACACAATCCGCACGAAATCCACCTCGCAATCTGGAACGACATTCTCCAGGACACACTGGGCCCATCCCGTCGCTTTCCGAACGAACTCGGCTCTGCGATGGTGGCGCCACGAGAAAGAGTGATGCGGCTGCTTTCCGCCACCACCACAATAAGTTGGAGGGGGGAAGGAGGTGGTGGACGAGGAGGAGGAGGACGAGGAGGAGGAGGACGAGGAGGAGGAGGAGGACGAGGAGGCCCATCAAAGAAAGCAGCGGAGACGCTGGGGAGGCGGCGACACGCGCCCCAGGAGGCACGCCCGCCCGCCGGCCTCGTTTAACGCCGCCACGTCGGCCTCCTGCGCGCGCCGCGGACGCGTCGACGCGCTCGCGGCCGCGGGCCGGCAGTCCCTTCGGACGGTCCCGGGTGACCTCGGAGGCCTCGGGCAGCTCTCGGGCTGCTTCGGGGGGCTTCGGCGGGCCCCAGGGGGCACTCGGAGTGCGTTCGGGGTGCGCTCGGAAAGGCCGTGGCTTTGCGCTGATGGCGCCTCTAGGACCAAGTCAATATGCTGAACATCCGCGGGTTTCGAAAAGCTTCGGAATCCTTCGGCGGGCTTCCTAGCGTGCCGGATACTTCTGGTCGTTCCAGGAGGGATGTCGGAAGGTTTCCCACGTGGCCTAATTTAGTGTTTCGCGCTGCGCGGTCACCGTCGCCCACACGGCCCCTTGGAGAACACACGCTGGTTGGCCCAAGCTAATACAAAAACAGCAAGTCGGAAGGTGGACGATGTAGATTTGATTCAGACACTCCTTCAGAATGTCAGAACACGGCAGCAGCACACCGATTCTTCAAATCGATTGGGATCAGAAAATCCAGAAATACCTGCTTTCAACGACCGGCGTGTACCAGTTCTATGGACCTGAGCGCCAAGCCGAATTCGCGGTTGCCCTCGCGCCCCTGCCGGTGATCTCGGGGGCCCTACACTTCGGGCTTCGTTGTCTTACGCGCACAAGCGCCTTGAGCATGGCCAGGGGTGACCCTTGAAGCACGCTCTCGCCCGAATCCCACCAGCCCTCTGGGCGTCGGTGGTTTAGGGCGTTTCCTCTTCCACTCCTCCCTCTTCCCCTTCGGGGAGGGGTTTACCCCTCCCCCTACCCCCTCCCCACTGACCTGGACAGGAGGGGCGGGGAGCGGTCAGAGCGTCCAAAACAGCCTCGGCGAGGAAGCCAAAATCATTGATTTTAGCAGGGTTTTGGCCCCATTTTGGCCTCCTGGGGGGGCAGCGCTAATTAAAGCTCAGCTCTTCTTTGATAGATCTCCTCCAAGATGGCACAAAGAAGCGCCCAGGAGGCCCCAAGAGGTCCCAAGATGACCCCAAGATGGCCCCAAGAGGCCCCCAAGAGGCCCCCAGAAGGCCCCCAAGAAGACCCTCAGAGGCCCCAAAAGGCCCCCCCCCCCGAGGCACCCAAGACCCCGAAGAGCCCCCCAGGATCGCCAAGAGACCCTCAAGACGTCCCAGAGTCCCAAGAGGCCCCCAAGAATCGCCCAAGAGATACTCCAAGAGGCTCCTAGAGGCATCCAAGAGACCTCTGGCCCTTGTGCTTGCCCTCCTCCTCCGCCTCCTCCTCCTCCTCCTGTTCCTCCTTCCTGCTCCTACTCCTTCTCTTCCTCCTCCTCCTCCTCCTCCTCCGCCTCCTCCTCATCCTATTCATCCTCCGTCTTCCCACTCCCTCATCCATCCATCCATCCACCTCCTCCTTCTCCTCCTCACTCCTTTGCACGGTTCGGCCGTCCTCCTCTTTGCTGCCGCACTTCCCTGATCACCTCAACTCGCCTGGACATCGTTTCGGGATGGGCTGGTGGGGATAAGCGAAGCGTCTAGAATTAAAGAGATGCCAAACATGCGAAACATACGTCGGCATGCGTGGGACCACGTGGAGAAGATAAAACACATGTGTATATACACGCTACATAACCTGCCCACATGGAGCCGAAGTACAAAACAAATGGAAGAGGGCGGGGCGGTGCTTGCTGAGCAGCCGCAAAATATGCAACGAGGTCGCCAACCCGAAATGTGTCCATCCGGAGAAACCTGACCGAGCCGATTGTGTTCACCGGAGTCGTGAGGGGGGGGGGGGGCCGAAAAAAACGCTCGGCGACGACACGGCGGCAGATGACGAGGAGAACAGCGTGGTTTATGGGGGGCCACCGGCAGGAGCAGGAGGACGACTGGGGAGGCAAACGCGAGGACGAGGAGGACAACATGTAGGAGGACGAGCGCGAAGACGAACGAAACTGCGCACATCGCAGTCGACAGCTGTATGGGCCATCGACGTCTTTTGGGGGTCTCTGGGACTCGTGGGGCCGCCTGGCCTGGCACTATCTTGGATCGTATCGGGGGCCCTTCGAAATCCTTGTTGGGGGCCTTCGGGTTTCTTTTGTGCTGCCCGGGCGCGTCCTCGGGGAACTTCGGCGCAGCTCCATTCATGAGGCTGTGGCTCGTAATCGTGAGGTTGTGCATCCCGCTAGCCCTGCATTGCGGCCTCATGCGCCTTCCAGGCGCCCTACGCTGCGAACTCTGTTCGCAGTTGCACTCGTTTACGCCGCGCCCTGCGTCATCTCAAAACCTTTTTCTCTTGACTTTGCAGATCCTCAACCCCCTCCCCTCCTGGATCCCAACGCGTTCGGGGGGTAGGCCATGTTGCAGCGCTGTACGAGCATGGTGATTCGAGCGCTCGGCACGCCAAGGGCGCGCAGCAGGAGGACACCGACCCCCCCGTAGCCGATCATGAGTTGACCAGCTTGCTGCGCCCGTCTGCGAAAAATCCCGAACCTCGTTAGGAATTTGACGATGCGCTCCTGCGACAATCGGTTGAAATTCATCCAAACCGATACGGTCGAGGTGCGATCCTCCTCACCCAGATCGCTCCATCGCTCTGCCAGCATGTGCATAAGGAAGGTCATCAGTGGCACTGGGTTGCGGTTGACAAATCCTCGCTGTATCCCAACAGCTGGCGGCCATTCGTCCACGCACTCGCGCGCCATGCCGGTAAGGCGCGACGAGACGCAAGCCGCCTGGCGAAACTCGCCGGGGTCTCAGATCGACAGTGACCAGATCATCACCTCGCGCACCCATTCCTGGGAAGGCACGCGAACCTGGTGCTCGGGCACCCCAGGTGTGGATGTGGCGCGTTTTGCCGCTGCCCCCGCTTGCGCCCGCGCGGGCGACGCAGCCTGCGATGGCACGCGCGTCGGCCCTCATGGCCCTCAAGCCGGAAAGTTGTTCCCTACACATGTCGTGGAGGTGTTGGAGGCCCTGGCCCTTCAGCCTCCGTCGCAAGAGTCGCCCAGTACACTTGCCCCGGATGTGTTCGTCCTCGTCAACGCACTCGGCGTCGGCATGTGTCGCGCCACTGTCATGCTGGCGGCACTCGGAACGTACCGCGACACAAATGAAGGGATTGTTCTTCGCGCGTCGTGCGGTCACTGTGCTGAGCACCGCGAGTTGCACGATCGTCTGAAGGAACGCGCGCTGGGATCCAGTCCTGCCTGACTGGCGGGTAGGAAAATAGGTGAGTCGACGGGTTGTGTCAGGAAAGATGGCGCTTCAGTCACCGTGCCCTCCACTGCATTATGTCGGGGATCTGGCAACGCAGTGCCCATGCGCCACACTGTATCCCCCCCTGGTACCGGCGACACAGTCGTCGAATACCTCTCTTCTGTTTGCTTTTCCCAAGACACCCGAAGCACACTCCGATCAAGCTCGGGGCCTTCTGACACCGCAAATGTGAGCGCTGTGTCGAGCAACTGTCTAACACTTGAAACCACCCCCGCGGGCGGGGGCACTGACAGTCTCGGGCCCGCGAGATGCCCGGGCACAGTCCGAGCGTGCCAGGGATGGGTCGCACAGCTGTCCTTGTAGATCTTGGTGACGTCGTCCTTGATGAGATACTGGTTGTGCACGTTCTCGGTCACTGGTCGTGGGGAGTGGGCGGATGCCCACCCAGAGCCTCAAATAACGTATCGTGCCACAGTGAGCGGGAAGAGATGCCCGAAGGCGGAGGTGTTGAAGGCGGTGTGCGCGCTCCTGGTCGCGAGCCCTGGCGAATGGGCTGGTGCATCCCCGACAAACCCTGAAGTAACGTCTCTGCCAAACGAAATGGAAAAAGTGCACGAAGGCGTACACGTTGAAAGGTGCTGATCGGCAAACTGGACGAGGGTGGAAGCCATTGCGGTCGACGCGAGGCGAAACATGGCATCCGTAGTGGGAGCAGATGTGAACCTGCTGCGATACCATACAAAACTGAGGATGTAGAGGCGAAGAGATGAATGAGGCGGATATGTTCTGTATCACCGTGCAATCAAAGGCGCGTAGACGGCGCAAACGAGTGCGGGCTCAAGAAGATATCCTCCTGGCCCCAAAGAATGACTGGCAGCGGAAAAAGGGGATACCGTTACAGCAGGCAAAGGGGAGAAGGGACAAGTGAGCTACTTTTCGACTGGAGGGAAGGCGAGGGGGGCGAGGAGGACGAGGAGGATGGGCACCGAGGTCAGGTGATATCAAGCGTACGGATAGGAACAGGTTTCAAGCTGCAAACTTGAGGGCTCACAGTGGCGGGCGGGCGGCGGGTGGTCCTCCAAGGGTACACCCTCGCTGGCCGCCTCTCGCAGGAAAGAGTCGGCGACCTCTACGACAGCCGCGGTCTTGGCCTCGAGGGGTCCCCCGCTCAGATCCCAATCCTGTGAAGCATCCCCATCCAAACTACCGAAGGGACAAGCAAATTCACGTGTGCGGCAACGGACCGCCGCTTATTCATCAGCCTTTTCGGCGCTCCCTGGTGGTCGCCTGCGCGAAGGCTCAATGGTTTCCTTCGCGAAGACTGGATCATTGCGCGTCGCCAAGGAATAACGATCAGAAGGCATCTGGATTGGAACCCCTGGCAGAAGCCGTTGGGAGCAAATCGCTTGAATCGGCGGCCAGCCCGGGGGGAAGTGCGAAGTAGCGGGCCTTTTCAGAAGGCTCGTAAGTCCCCCGGCCTTCCGAACAATATTCTAAGCCTTCCCCGAAGACGCAGAACACTTACCGGAAGGCTGGAGGGCTTCTGAGAAGACCCGCCGCCTTCTGAGAAGGGCTTCTCCTTATCACTTACCCCACTCGCTCGCCGCCGATTGAAGTAAAATCACATCAGAAACGCAAAACCACTAGCGCAAGCTCAACACCCGCCCCACCCTCTCGTTCTCCCGCCCCGCCCTCCCCGCAGCCTGCTCCTCTCCTGCGCAAACGACACCCTCCCCTGCCAGCAGGGTGCTGCAGACGGTCACCGTCTGATGCCAGGAGAGCTTCGACGCCGATCCCAGCAAGCCCTGCGGGAAGACCCCGTAAAGGCGGACCCCTTAAAGGCGGGCGGTTATGTTAGGTCGGGCGTGACCCCTTAAAGGCGGATTTTGGATGAAAAATTAAAGATACTCCCAAAATGCTCCCCAAATGCTGAAACATAGTCGTTTAAAAAAGTCGTCCCCAGACTATTTGTTGACTATTTTTGAATATTCCTCCTGTCGAACCGAGGTCCTCGAACCTCGATCCCGGTGGGAGGAAGAGATACCGATACTCTAGGCTCGTGGATGCCACGACAATGGACACCCTAACAATCCTATCATGCATTTAAAATGTGTTTAACATGTCGGACACATGGTCTAAACATGTTGTGACCATGTTTTTAACGTGTGAAAACATGTTTAACACATGCTTTAGACATCTGGAAAGTATTTGGCAACATGCTTCCTCTCCACTGATCGTCCTCCACAACTCTAGGTCTCCCAGGTCCTGCATGGGGTCTGAGTAGACGGGGTCGGAGGGTCGCGCCGCACCGCCGGTGCATCGGCGGTGCGGCCTGATGTGGAGCCCGATGCATCGCCGACATCGCTGGTGCATCGGCAATGCATCGGCGACGCGGAGCGACCATCCGACCCCATCCTCTCCGACCTCATCTAGGAGGCCTCTAGATACCGCTGCGCCGCGGACCGATCTCCTCGGGCAAGCTTTAGGTCGGGCATGTCCCCCTACAGGCGGATTTTGGACGAACAACCATAAGCACCTTCAAAACATACTCCCAAATTGTACAAAAATAGTCAAATCAATCGTCCTCCGACTGTATTTTACGATTTTCGAATCTTCCTCCTGTCGAGGGTCAAGCCCGACTTAGAATTATCTCCTCGGGCGAGCTCTGACCAGAGGCTCGCGGCGGAGCCGGCCCCGCGGCGATCAGAGCAGGGCAGCGGTGTCCAGATGTGACCCTCCTCTGAGATCACAGAGCCTCGATCCTTGGACCTCGGTTTAGGTCGGGCACGTGAGCACGTCCGTCTACTGGCGGATTTTGGATGAGAAATTGCAAAACTACAGAAAAAAAGCTAAAGCACAGTCCCCAGGCTATTGTTTCACTATGCTTTAATAATCCTCCTGTAGAGGGACAGGCCCGACTTAAAACTCGGTCCTTGGCGTCCTCCCATGAAGGAACAAATTGAGAGAAACAACAAAACGGCACAGGGGAAGACACATCAACCTGGAGTCGGCGACACATCGCTGATAGACCAGCGATAAGCTGGCCCGCTACCGAAACCGCATGCTGCTGGGCGGGGTTGGCTATCTGATGCATGCCACGGACCTCTCCTAATTAGGGTGCGTTCTGACCAGGATCTCGAAGCGAATCCAGTCGTAGCTTCAAAGACAGGTTGGTGGTATCGGCATTTTTCATCCATCTCTGAAATCCGACCCTTCAAAAATGCGGCATCACGAAAAATCGCGGCCAAAGTCTTGTACCCCACCTTTCTGCGGCACTCTTCGAGACGAGTCGCCGTATATGATGATCCTGGGGCCCGCAAGGGGGCGACAAAGAAAAGTGCGAAAGAATGGCAATTCGGGCCGGGCGAAAGGGTGGGATAGCAAAGGGGGGGTTCGAGAATCAGCTCACGTAGCTAATTTTCCCGGCGCCTCCCCGCGCCAGAGGCGGCCATGCATCAAGGAATGGGCTCGGCGGCGGGGCCGAAACCAGCTGCATGAAGCAGATTTCGTAAACACCCCTTTCCCTATCCCCCCCTTTCGTTCGGCCCGAGCAATGCCCCGATCTCAGGGTCTGAGACCCCCGAACCGAAGTCCACGAACCTCACCCTCATAATTCTGGGAACACGCTCACCCGGGTAAGCACAGACCTGGATCCAAGGGCCCTGTCGTGAAACCCAGCCTCCCGCTTAGCATAGCCCCTCAGCCTGGGTCAGCGAAGGCGGAAAGGGGAATCGGCCCCACGTGCCTACCAAACCCACACAAGAAAAGAAACCTATCTGGGGGGCAGACGAAGTCCCCCGTAAGATGCAACATCCCTCGATCCCTGGCGTCCTCCGCCAGGCGGCCTGCTGCAGGTCGTCGCCGCCGCCCCCGGCCACGCCCGCGGAGCCGACGGCCAGCTGCAGCCCGCGCCGGAGGCCGCCCCAGGGCCCAGCGCACGCCAGGGCCGAGTCCTCGGGGCGCTGCTTCTGCGGCCCAGTCGGCGGGGCCCGAGGGGGGAATACAGTCAACTCGTAGAGGAAGGACGCACGAGAAGGATGCAAGGGCCTTCGAAGGCCATGCCAGCACTTTGTGAGCGCGTCGCGGCCAGCGGAAGCGGCCAAGGATGGGCTGAAGGGGAAGGATGCAAGGGCAGCCTTGGAAAGTCGCTCATCATTCCTATGCGGGTTGACTGTGTCTCTGGATGTGCCTCGGCTTGTCTGGGTGCACCTCGATTTGCCTGGGTGTACCTCCACTTGTCAGGCTCGATCCCCAACCAGTCGATTGGCGAGTGGGAATGTGATGTCTTTGGCCCGTCCCGATTGGCCCCCCGAGGTCCCCGCCTCTGGAGGCAGCCCTGAAGGCCTCTGGAGGGTTCCAGAGGCCCAGAACCGTCGAACGACCAAGATACCCGTGATCCTCGACCCTCGACATCCGAACCCTACCCCTACTGGCCATCGACTCTCCTGAATCGATGGGAGGCAAAGGTAGGGTTCGGACTTCGACACGTGCTCGACGAACTCCGAACCGAGACCGGTGCGGGAGTTCCAACGAACCGAGCACCTCAAAGAACGCAGCGCAACTGTCGCGGACTCAGATCTCTGCGAAGACGGCCGACGCAAATCAACACTATCCGACGTAAGTTGCGCGCACCAGCACAATCATATTCGCGTGGGGCCGCGGGGGCTTTCGGAAACAGAACTACCGAAACCTGACGGCTCGTGATTACGCGTCGGCAACCCGCGGCTCCCCGCCCGCCAGCCCCCCGCGGAGACTTAGAATATTCAAGAGGGTCTGCTCGATGACAACCAGTACCGCCACGCGGCCAAACAACAAAGTTCGAGACAAAAGCCTCAGAATTTCGAAAGATGAACTCATCCTTGTCTGAATAGGGGACGAACTGAGCCCAAGAAGGCCCGAAGATGGCTCCAAGACGGCCCCAATATGGTTCAACAGGAAATGATATTTGAAGGCCATTCTCTTGTCCTCTTCCTCCTCCTTTTCATTTTCCTCCTTTTCCTTTTCATCCTCCTTTCCCTCCCCCCCTCCTCCTCCTCCTCCTCTTCCTCGTCCTTTCCCTCCCCCCCTCCCCCCCTCCTCCTCCTCCTCGTCCTTTCCCTCCCCTCCTCCTCCTCCTCCTCCTGCTCCTCTTCCACGTCCTCCACCTCCTCCACCTCCCTATTCTCCCCTTCTCTCAAGTTGGTTCCAGGAGGCCTCTGCGAAGCTCGCAAGACATGTTGCTTGGGTAACAGTTCTGGATGGGCTGGTGGTGATAACGGAAGCGTCAATAATGTGGCCCTGCGAAGCCGGAACAATCAAATTACGGCGGATCAGATCTGTGCCCGACGATTGTATGCTTGCAGGAATGCTGACGTCGACATCCGGGACATACAACCTAGGGCTCCTGTGTTTCCTCCGGCTGGTGTGAAGGACGGCAAGAGTACATCTTTAGAAGCCTCCTGGATGGGGTCGGAGTAGATGGGGTCGGAGGATTGCGCCGCATCGCCGATGCATCGCCGATGCATTGGCGATGCATCGGTTATGTACCGGTGATGCATCGTCGACGTCGGCGGTGCATCGGCGATGCCGACATGATGCGAATCGGGCCCCACATCGAGCCGCATCGGCGATGCATTGGCGATGCGGCTCGATCCTCCGACCCCATCTACTCCGACCCCATCTGGGAGGCCTATAATCTTGAAGCCCGTCCAAACTCCAAACTCCTACTCCCGCGCGGCATCAAAGTCAAGACGTGCTGACTCTGAAGCTGTCATCTTCTCCGGGGCAGCCGCGCGAGCTGGGAGGCGGGGCGCCCCGGCGCGAAAAGATCTGCCCACACCGGCAAGCTGCCCTTCCGAGGGGTTCTGAAAAAGAACCGTTGTGTGGGGGCCCAAAGAATATACACCACCACCACCACGTCGATTCCTCCTCTCCTCTTTCCAGCGAGAGGGAGGTGGGGAGGGAGGTATTGGTGGTGTATATCTTTGGGCCCCGCATTGTGGGTAGGGAGCTCCAGAAGGCTGACCTTCGACAAGGGTAGTGATCACCGTCAGGACTGAATCCCATGAAGCTGGGCGTGGCCAAAGGCGGTCGAAAAGGGGGGGCACTCCGATGAGGGACAGGGGACGCGAATGCTCGTCCCGCAACCTGCACCACCTCTAACGGATGGTGTAACGACCCCGACCCCAGACTTGGGGGTAAGGAATCCTTACTCTGAATGCAAGATGCGGGGCCCCCATCGGGGATATACGATGGGGGGCAACATTCCCAGATGGGGGTGCGTCCGAACAGCCCTTCGGGGGTTTCTCCCCGAGTTCCCCCCCGAGTTCTGAGCGGCCAGATCTCTCCGAGGAGAAGTCCTGGATCGGGGGCAAGGCCTCGCCTGCGACTCACCACCTCGAGGGAACCACCGCTGGTCAGACACACCAGGAGTCCAACCACGAGCTTGCCTTCTCACTGTTAGGAGGCAACTACTGGGAGGTTTTCGTCGGAAAGATCGAAGATTAAGCCCCATTTGGGAACTGTTGCGCCGGAATGGGCCTCGGACCAAGCAAGATTAAGCCGGATGAATCGGGATTAAGCGGGATTGAACGGCATTAAGCCGGATGAAGCTGGATTAAGCCGGATTTCGGACCAGGGCGAAAATAGAATTTGACCTCCAAGGAGTTGCATCCGAAGCAAGGGCAAGGTGCGTCAGAGGAGGGCACGTCAAGCCGCCCGGTCTCCTGGGCTGCCACCGCCAGCGGCCACGCCAGCGCGCAGGTCCTGCACGAGGGGGGCACGCATCGGTCCGCTCAAGGTACCCTGCAGGCCACGGATCGGCCCTGCGTAGGCGGCACTCTGAGGCGCGCACCCCGAGAGGTTCAGTGCGCGCGTTGTCGCTTCCAGCACCCCGTGGTGGCCGAAGCATCACGTTATGGTGCTGACCCGTGCGCTCTTGCAAGGAAAGCCTGACGCCGAGCAGCGAGGGTCGAGACAGCAGCAGGGGCTGACGCTCCGCTTCTAGCAAGGAGAGGGACGACGGACACGAGGAGGCTTAGGGTGCTTAGGGGTGCGGAACTTGCCAGGGAAGGAAGTGTGAACCACCACATGCAGGTGGGGTACGCTAGGCGGCCACATGCGAACCCTACCCCAGCCACCCCCACGGATTCTAAGGGGGGAGTTGGGTTTCACTTCGCTCGAGAGCTCCCGAGCGAAGTCAGCCCCACCCTCTCCCTTAGAAATCGTGGGGGGGTAGGGTAGGGTTAGGTCGGGCCTGTACCCCTACAGGGGGATGTTTGGCGAAACATTTGAAGCATTCCAAAAATATGCAAAAATGATCAAAAGTAGTAGACAAAATCTTCCTCATAATATTATTTGACTATTTTTGAAAATTCCTCCTCTAGAGGGACACGCCCGACTTAAGGGTAGTGTTCGCGTGTGGCCGCCGATGCGCGAGCTGCTGACTTGTGGGATGCAGGCCTGAAGGATGCCCCGCGGCAGCGCGTGAGAAGGTGCGCACCGCCACCGCCCCGGACCCCTCCCCCCCCCAGCTCCGGGGAGAGACGGCCAGCGGGAGGCGGAGGAGGCGGATGATTTGAGCAGGGACCGACCGTCCCCGCATTCCTGTAGTCCTACCACGACATGTTCTTAGAAACCAAGAAAGGGTCTAATCACAGGGAGGAGAGTGTTCTTAGAGCATAAGCCCGATGTGATAAAAGAAGACAGCCCCAGCCAGAAATGTTCTAAGAACATCTCGTGGGAACCACAAACGCTTCCTAGAACATTGTTTGGTAGGACCCTAGGCACGCAGGGACGCTTCGCCACTGCTTGGGTGATGGAGCATCGGAGTGTCGGGCGACGTTGGGCCTCCCGTGCCTTCGAGCAGCCTCCCGGGAGAGGGCCTGTGGCGCGCAGAGGGGGAGCGGGACGGGCGAGGGGCGGCCATCAGGAGGCGGAGGAGGAGGCGAACGATGGAGGATCGAAGTGCTGGGTTGTGGATGCCATGACCAATGGACACTTTCATAATCCGACCATTGAATGCAGGAGTATGTTGAAAAGGTGTGAAACGTGTTCCAAAACGCTTCGGGCATGATTTTAACATATCTAAACCAGGTTTTAGACATCTGGAAATTATCTGGCAGCATGCTTGCTCTCCATTGATCGTCCTCCACAAGGCGACGTGGGATCTCCGAGTGCCTCCGAGAAGCCTCCCAGGAGAGAGAGCCGGCGGCGCGCAGAGGAGGAGGAGGAGGAGGAGGAGGAGGAGGAGCGGAGCACATGAGCGAGGGGGTGCCCGCCCTTGAGGGCAGCGGGGGGCCTCTTGCCGGGAGGCCAGCACGAAGCCATCGCTCGGACGTCCGTTCCCCGTGCATGTTTCGGTTTCGTGCGTGCTCTTTCTGCCAGATGGTCGAGAATGCTCCCCGAAGGTCCTCGCCGAGAAAGAAAATGCACACGTCCGAGCGATACGAGGAGCAAGGCACGGCTGGGTCGTTTGCCATCCCTCGGACGTCCATTCCCCGTGCATGTTTCGGTTTCGTGAGTGTTGATTTGTTGTTCGCAAGATGATCCAGGATCTCGCCATCGCTTGGACGTCCATTCCCTCTGCATTTTGCGGATTCGCGCGTGTATGTTTCGCAACGTGAACAAAAGTGCTCCTCAATGGTCCTTGCCGGTGAAAAATGCACACGTCCGAGCGATGCCAAGGGATGCTCCTCGATGTCACCACCGAGGAAAATGCACACGCCTGAGCGATGCTAGGAGCAAGGCGCAGCTGGGTCGAGGCGACGCAAGACTCGGGCTCGGTGGGCTCGGGAGGGCCTGACGCAGGGCTGAACCTAAACGGTGTTTTTCGCTTTCGTTTTGTGTTTGTTTTCCCTCGTTTTGTCTTCGATTCGCCTTTACCGCAAAACGAAATCGAAACGAAAACGGCCCACGAAATCGCTAAAAAACCCGTTTAGGTCCAGCCCTGGCGCAAGGCTAGGATACGGGGGGGCTCGGGTTGGCCTGACGGGGCCGTCGTAAAAATGGCGAGACCCAATCTGAAAGTTGACGCGAGCTCCCGATGCTAGCATCCCACGAAAGCTGGACCGTCAAAATCCAGGACGCGCTCATCGAAAAACGTCGGCAAATCCGAGTTCCGGCTTACTCGAGTCTTACGTTTCCCCGACTGGGGGAGATGCAAGCCCTACCACCCTGGCTTAGGAAGCAACTCCTGGAAGGTCTTCGCAAGAACGACTGAGCGATACCAAGCCCGATTAGAGGGCCATTGAGCCAGATCAACCCAGATCAAGCCCTAAGGCGATTGAGCCAGATTGGTCGGAAATTCGAGGCGGGATTGTGCCATACCAGGCCAGCTTTCGACCTATGATAACCAACGCCGATGCTGAATTCAACCTCCTAGAAGTTGCATCCTGACCCCCCTTGGGGAACCCACCGCACCGACGGCCTGGGGAAACCCACCGTACCGACAGCCTCTCAAGATGACGTCAACGAGCCCTGCGGGTGTAGGCAAGGACGGTAACACCCCCCAGCCGTGGCTGCCATGCAGGAGTGCGTGGGGCCCCACAGCGTGGCGCCCCAGGCTGCCCATGCATCGGGGGTGGACAGAATCCCCTTTAGCAGAGCACCGTTTCGTGAACCACCCCCTCATTTCCCTCGGCGCGTGGCTGAACCACACCTCAAGGCCCGGCAGACGGGGACTGTGATACGGCTGGCGTTGGAACGATAGCGTGCGAAGTTGATCTCTGAGAAACACGCTATCCCTGTGAAACGATCCCCCCGCGAGGGCCCCTTCTTTGCACGCGATCCCCCTGCCAGTGCTTCCCCAAGGCGGGGGATAGCGTGTAACAGGCTGGCTCACGGCGCCACACCGCCCGCCATCTTTCAAACGCCAGCCGTAAGCCAGGATTCTGGCACGCCCAGACGAACAGCAGCGGCAAGTGAAACAGCGTTCTCCATTCCTCGCATCCCCCGGGTTGAGTACCACCGGCCCTTCAGGGCGTAGGTGGCTTTGGGTGTTTCTTCTTCAGAGCCCCATCCTTCCCCTTCAGGGAGGGGTTTACCATTTCTGTTCCCTCCCCCTGTTTCTGGGCGTGGGGGCGGCAACCGATTGGAGCGTCCAAGGTGGTCCAAGATGGCTCCAAGAAGCCTTTCGATAGCCCTAGATGGCCGTCAAGATGACGCGAGTTCGCCCAAGATGGCTCTCAACAATTAACTAAGAGGTCCCAAGACCGCTCAAAGATGGGTTCAAGTAGCTTGGGGACTTCCTCTTCAGGACGCCCCCAAGATACCAGAATCCGTCTTAAAGAAAATCAGTGGTTGTTGCCTTCTCGCCAATTCGCCTCCGATGGCCGTCCAGGGCTTCAAGATCGCTCCAAGCGGGCCCACGAGAGACCCAAGAGGACCTAAGAGGGCTCCAAGAAGGCCTCAATAGCGCCCCAATACCGCCCCACGAGAGCACCGAGAGACACTCTCAGGGGCTCTGGAGAGGCAGTACAAATTGAGGCCCCCCTTCTTTGATCGATGTCCTCCAACTTGGTCCCACGGAGACCCCTAAACTCTAAGAGAACCCCAAGATGCCCCCGAGGCCCCAAGAGGCTCCTGATAGCCCACGAGAGTTCTCCAAAACGACCTAACATGGCACCAAGAGCCCACCAGGAGACATCCCAAGCGACTCCCGGATACATCCAAGAGGCCTCGAATTCATTGAGGCTCCCCAAGATATCCTAAAGATGCCACGTTCCCAAGATAAAGCCGCTCCCGTGGCCATCGTTCCTGGATGAGTTTGTGGGGATACTTGTTGGTCAACAGGCTCGCGAGGCGGGTCGAAAGCCGTCCGAACACTAGTCGGGCTGCGACTAGGCAGCAGGAACGAAAAGGCAAGCGAAGCGAGCGAGCAGGCAGCCACTCAGAAGGAGAGCCAAAACCGCGCTTGTGGGGCTACGCGAAGCATAAAAAATTGCAGGGACCTAATCTTCAGTGTCCTGGTTCCTGGTGCCCTGGAAACTGTGGCCCACGGTGGGCCACGCCAGGATCGGTACAATTGGTCAGCTTGGGGAAAGCGACAGGTACCGATACCGCTGCTCCATGGACCTCTCCTGGACTGCGATCTGATTATGATTTCGAGGCGGATCCAGCCGCGGCGACGAGAGCCTCCCAGGAGGCCTCAGAAGGCAAACATGAGGCCTTTCCTGGAGGCCCGCTGAAGCGAAGAAGAGGAAAGGCCTCCCCTCCCACGATGCCCCGTCAAGGCGACAACGACCCACTGGTAGCGGGATCGGTACCCTTTGTTCTATCCTCGGAGCAATGGGGCCAGCCAGGATCCGCGCAGGTGGTCAGCTGACTTGAGCAGGGACCGACCGTCCTGGCATCCCTGTAGTCCTACCACGAGATGTTCTTAGAACCCAAAACATGTTCGAAAAACAAAAGCACTGTTCTTAGAACATAGCACCGATGGGTTAAAACAAGACAGCCCCTGCAAGAAATGTTCTAAGACCCTTTTGTGGAAACCACAAAAGGTGCTTAAAACAATGTTTGGTAGACCTATAGGCACGCCAGGACGCTTCGCCACTGCTTGACTGACGTGCCTGGACCTTTCTGGGAGGACGGCCCACCACGCCCCGCCCGCTGCGGGCGGGAAAAGACTTTTTGGAGGAGGAGGAGGAGGAGGAGGACACGGCCGCAATTTAGAAGGAGAAGGACGGAGGATTTTTTAGGAGGACGCGGATTTGTTTGATCAACTGCGCGGCAGCACCGAACGATCAAAAGTTCCGCCAAACAGACTGGGAACGCCACTAGAGCCGACC